GTGATGGTCTCGGTGTTTGTGGTGTATATATTCATGTTCCGTTCATGTTTGTGGTTCTGGGGTTTTTCTTCCTGATAATAATGTCGCTGCATCACTGGATACTCGTCCCTGATTGGTCGACGTGGCGCATCTGACGCGAAAAGTTCAGCATTTTCAACTTCTTGACGCTGACGCCTCGGACGCGCGTCTAGAGCATCGACGCCAAAACGCACAAGACACGCCAGCTTCACGCTGCGCTGACGCCGAAGACGCGCCTCAAAAACGCAGGACGCTCTAGTCGCGCGTCCACATGGACTTTACATAGAAACTGGACAATGTGACGCTCTGGTGTGAACGAACCATAGAGCTCGACTCTGCACAATCTACACTTTGTATGTTTGATATTATATGGAAACATGTCCTTTACATTTGAAACGTTTAGGCTCGTCTATGAAATCCAAATCAAACAAAACAAATAAAAACGAGATGACAGAAGCCCCACAAAATCTCTCCCCACTGCAAATTCAGTCCCACCGCTCAGTAGGCCTTCATCCCACTATCGCCCAACTGAATATTTGTCCAGGGAGTTGGAGATTCTGACCAGAAGTTTGGTTTGGTCCAGACTCTGTCGGGGTTGAAAAGGGTGATTTGGCTCTGTCGATGTTTATGACCAATTTCTGGTCAAATGGTCTTGGGTCCTCTGCCGTTAGAGTGGAGAAATAACCAGGATCAATACCCTTTACGTCACAGGTGTCAAACATGCGGCCCGGGGGCCCGATCTGGCCCTCCAAGACCTTTAATCTGGCCCTCGGCTGATTTTCTACTAAAATATTTAAAATATATTTTTATTAAAATCTTGTTAATTTTCTGTGGTTTTTATCACAGCAGCGTCTCCAGCGTCTCTGTACGTGGCCCCTCCCACCAGAGCAGCACAAATGAAGACTTGTCTCTTTCCAAACGCTCTTAAAGGACGATCGTTTTGACTGTTGACCGTGACACCCTCATCAGAAAAATGTCCAACATGAGAAAAGTGGAGCCGAGTGCAGGATTTTACAACAAAAATTTACTTATTCCTATTTATACAAGTTAATGTTAAACAAGTTCATGTTCAAACTTTGTGTTGAAATTGTATTTTTCTTAAAGTTTCAGGTTGTTCATAATATTATAATATTTTGTAAAAGAAAGAGTTCATCAATTTAAAAAAAATTCTGTAATAGATTTGTGTTTCTCTGCACAAATATTTGAACTTATTGTTATTTTTGGGGTTTATATGACATGAGTTTTCTGATCCGGACACTTTGGATCAAAGTCGGTTGGACACGACCCCCGGACCAAAATGAGTTTGACTCTCCTGACTTATGTGTTTTCTCGCTCCGTCCGTCATGTTCAATTAGTGTTTCTTGCCGCTGACCAAAATAATTCCCAGCAGCAACGCGCGCTTTTGTCAACAATGAAACTCGCCTATACAACCTTTAATGTTTAGTGGTTTTAAGTATCTTAGACTGAACCATCAAACTTTATTCATTCTAACGTACTGAGCTCCAGTCTGTGGCCCTCGATCGTCCCTCTGCTTCATCTGTGTTTAGATACGTGGGCCTTGATGAAAAAAGTTTGGACGCCCCTGATCTGGATCATTTCAGTCCTGGAGTCGCCGATCTCCACCGAACTAAAGGGAAAAGGAGCTGAGAACTCGACGACATCACAAGGTGGAGCAGAGCGTTTGGAGCTTTGGAGACGCAGACGAACTCGTAATAAAGATTTACTTCAACGAACACGAGTCCAGCTCCGAGTGTGACCGGGAAACAGTTTTATAACATCAGTTTGTGTTTGTGTGATTCAGGAGGTTCAGGTGTTTGTGCGGCGCAGACAGAGACGGTCATTTGATTCAGATCCAGTGAATGTTGTCATTGTGTCCTTGGGCAAGACATTCCACACACTAATCCTTTGTATAAACGTGGTGTGTGAGGAAAGTGTGGAGTCTGATTTACACTTTTGACCTAATCACATAAAGACTTCCTCACACACACACACACACACACACACACAGAGACACACACACACACACGGGACACACACACACACACACACAGGAACACACACACACACACAGGAACACACACACACAGGAACACACACACACACACACACAGAGGAACACACACACACACACACACACACACACACACACACACACAGGAACACACACACACACACACACACACAGGAACACACACACACACACACACACACACAGGAACACACACACACACACACACACACAGGAACACACACACACACACACACACACACAGGAACACACACACACACACACACAGGAACACACACACACACACACACACACACACACACACAGGAACACACACACACACACACACACACACACACACACACAGGAACACACACACACACACACACACAGGAACACACACACACACACACACGAACACACACACACACACACACACACACACAGGAACACACACACACACAGGAACACACACACACACACACACACACACAGGAACACACACACACACACACACGAACACACACACACACACAGGACACACACACACAGAAACACACACACACACACACACACACACACACACACACACACACACACACACACAGGACACACACACACACACACACACACGGAACACACACACACACACAACACACAGAACACACACACACACACACACAACACACACACACACACACACACACACACAGGAACACACACACACACACAGGAACACACACACACACACATGGAACACACACACACAGAACACACACACACACACACACAACACACACACAGAAACACACACACACACACACACACAGAACACACACACACAGGAACACACACGGGAACACACACACACACACACAGAAACACACACACACACACACAACACACACACACACACACACACAAAACACACACACACACAACACACACACAAACACACACACACACGGGAACACACACACACACACAAACACACACGGGAACACACACACACATACACACACACAGGAACACACACACACAAGAACACACACACAGAAACACACACACACACAGAAACACACACACACAAACAAACACACACACACAAGAACACACACACGGGAACACACACACACACACACACAAACACACACAGAAACACACACACACAGAAACACACACACACACCAAGCTTCACCAAAAAGTAAGATCTAAACTTTTAAATGTGTCACAAAATGACTTAAAAGTAGTGAAACGATCTGTACGCGCAGCAAGATCATTTTATCTTCAAATAATCGACGTCTAGACGAGAGCGAAGCGTCTGTGTTCAGTGTTCATGGGCTGGAAATAAGTTTATGGACGATAAGTTTGAGATAAACAGACGTTAAACCAGTTTATGATGAGGGTTCATGCTCTGATAATAAGTTCTCAGATGCCAAATTCTAGATAAAATGCTGTAAATTCTGCTAAATTCTAGATAAACAGACTTAAAACTGGTTTATGATTAGTACGAGTGGCCTGATAATAAATTGAAAGATGCTAAATTCTAGATGTAAGTTCTTGAAATCAGTTTTACATGAGTAGTTCAGTCTTCACTTCAGTCTTGTATCGAGCAAATCTGTATCGTTGAATCTAAGTGAAGTGTTTCAGGGGAAACTCTGGTAAATGGATTGTTGCGTCTTTTAAACATTTATTGCCTAAATTTAAGATTTTATGACGAGTTGAGTCATGGAAGAAACATATGTGACCATTTTTAAGATACAACCAATTCAGAACGAGTAAGTAGATAATACAATCTGAAAACAAGATGAAGAACCTGACAGAAGTTTGAAAATTTTGACCAGATCAGAGAAATCTGCAGTGTGATAATAAAGGACTGAAATACTGCAGCCGTGCACTGGTCAGAACGTACAGCGTGTTTGACTCTTCGGCTTTTAAATGCCCCTCTGTTTTACTGCATGATTTGACGTACAACAGGTGTTTGACACGGTCTCTCCGCCGTAACAAAGGCGCCAGGGCCTGTTCATGTTGAGCCTGACCACAGACGGTCTGTAGACGTGTTCTGAGGGAGTCTGACGTCCAGGCTGAAGTTACAGTGGATAATCTGGAGCCCAGTTCTATATTTGTAATTCCGACTAAAGAGCCAATCAGGAGCGGGGCTGTTGAAGGTAACGGCCCTTCTTGGAAGCAGATGCTGAACAATATATTACACTATAACTTTCACTAGGGTGACCAGAGTTTCAGAATCAGAACCTGGTGCACTCTCGGTTTGCGGTGTTTGGTGAACTGAGTGAATAATTAAGGAGACCTGTTCTCCACTCGGCTCATTCATGACCAACATGAGTCAGTATAGTCACATTTTCTTTGTGTTTTGGTTGTTTTTAAGCAACAAATGGCAATTTATGTCTCTCTTTACTGTTGGCAGGTATTAAATTGGTCAAAAATCACACCTGGGACATTTCTTGTATGAAACTGGGACAAATCAGTGGTTTTGTATAAATCTGCTGGAACAGGAGACACAGGCTCAAAATGACACATTTTGAAGAGTGATTTATCGCTACAGAGAAACACTGTGATAAACAATAATACTGAAACTACTTCATGCCACTGGCACAATAAAAATAATGCAAGACACTGCCCAGAAAACCATCTGTAAATAGATCGTATGAGTAAAAGGCCTGAGCTGCAGAATGAACCAATAATCAGCCACAGAAGTCACTTATTCAACTCTCTACAGCTCAAATCTTACTGTATTATAACAAAAACAACACAAATGCAAAATGTTTTTACAAAGAAAATGTACGCACGATAAATACCAAGATGAAAAGACATTGTTCCAGCTTTCATATTGAAAGACGAATCGACACTGTGATGATGGTGACAGGACGACGTCGCAACCTCATCTAGACCTCAAATCAGATCTTGAATTGAGGACAAAACAAATGAACACCAGAGACATGTAGAGTCTGTGAGC